ATAGACATATTGTGTGTAAAATTGATCATGTACTAACATTTTATGTTCACCAATCAGCTTTTAAGAGATCAGCGATAAATCTAGAGTGGAAAGCAGAAAGTCTCTAAATCCTTTCTAGATGTCTTTTCCTTGTCTTGTTTCAACAGTTTTAGCTCAATAGGAAGTAGGCAAGTGTAACTATTGAGTATCTCTTTTATTTTCTGCTGTAACATATGAGTGTTTTATGGCAAATTTGCTTTCAAAATTATTAGTGATTAGTGATAGTTTTACATGACAATGTTTTAAATGTTTAAGTTCAGGGGTACAAGTGCAGTTTTTTGACATAGTTAAACTTGTATCATGGGGGTTCCTTGTAGAGATTATTTCATTACCTGGATAACAATTTGTAATCATAAGAGATGGTTCAGATGTATAACAGAATGGGAAAGTCAGCAGATTATTAACACTTTGTGCATTGATAATTATCTGCTGTTGTATTTCACATGAGTGAATTTTCATCTGACAATGACCTCTTCTTCATGTAGATACATGTTTTTTAGGAGCCAATGAAATTCTTTTTTTTTTTTTTTTTGAGGGAGGTATTCTTTTTAATAGTCTTGTGAAAATACATGTTCATGTGTCACTCTTCCAAACTAACTTAGATGATTTAAATAAACTGGTAAAAGAGTTTGAACATACAATTTTTAAGCCACTTAAGAAATATATATTTACAAGGCAAGACAGTTATTTCAATAGAACTCACAAGTACAGAATATATTGCTATAATGTTCCCACAAAACATTTATTCATTGGTGTGAACATTTGAATACAAAAGTTATATTCTCAATGTTATTGCTACATGTTACCAGGGTTGGAGCTTTGGTATTATCTTTGATATTCCAAGTCCATTATGCTTCCCATGCAGTTATCATTAGGCCTGCAATTTTTACCTCTGCTGTGGTCCTTTAATTTCCTTCTTTAAATTCCCACTGCTGCTGCCCTAGTTCACATCATCTTTCCTTGCTTGTACTATTAAACTCAGCTGAGTTCTCTTTTCTCCTCTGAGCCATCCTTTGTAGATTGGCAATATTATCTTCCTAAAACCTAGCCCTTCCCTCCTCCCAACCTGTGATGTCCACTTCTAAATTCTTAGTCAGAGACACTCCCCTTTACATGACCCCCTTTTAGGCTTGTTTTGCTCCATTCTGTCTTTCCTGGTTGATAGCCTTCTCTGAAGGAACTCACCATTACCTCCAGGCTTTGCTCATGCTCTTCCCTCACAATGTTTTTAAATCTTTTTAAGAACTGATTGAAATATGATTCTTTTGGCAACTATGCCAGCATTTTATCTCCATTTTTGCCTACATGCCTGAGTGAGTTGCATGTCCATACCAATTATAAATTTTTGTATTATTTTATTTGTGCCTTTGCTCATGTCACAGGAATATGAAAGAGATTGTGTATTCATGTTTTGCTTCTTTCTCAGTACTTAACATACAACATTTTACGTAGTGGGAACTATTTAACTGTTTGTTGAATGAATAGTATATATTTCAAAAGTAAGTTAAGTTTTCTCTAATTTGATGAGTTCATATCAGAGACCATTTTATCCCATCAGTGGAAATCATGTTACCTGAATTATGAGTGACAATAAATGGGTCACTACTTGGTGAAAAAAATATATAATATTTCATGATATAGGGCTGCCAGTCCTTTTTTGTCGTGACTCCATCTTGTCTTTAACTGTTCCTCATTTTTTCAAGCAAAGTACATGACTGTTGTACCTGCTAAATAATATTTCTCTCAAATCTGGCATTAAAAATTTTAAATGTGTCTGGTGGCGCATGCCTGTAGTCCCTACTACTGGGGAGGCTGAGGCAGCAGAATGGCTTGAACCCAGGAGGCAGAGGTTGCAGTGAGCCAAGATTGCACCACTGCACTCCAGCCTGGTGACAGAGTGAGGCTCGGTCTCAAAAAAAAAAAAATTAAGTGGGTATTTCAAGTTCCATGTATTTATTACAATTTTAAATGTGGAAAAAATAACTAAGTTAAATGCTGTTTCCTTTGAAATTTAAATTGCTATGTTTAAAACGTGAGATGAAAAGTGGTGGTTTATCTGTGAACTATACTTTTTGTTTTGGAGTATCAAGAACGTGGAGAATCATGAAAGGCTTCTTTTTGATGAACAAAGTGAACTTCAAAAAGAAATAGCAGCTGGGTGCAGTGGCTCAGCCTGTAATCCCAACACTTTGGGAGGCTGAGGTGGGCGGATCACGAGGTCAAGAGATTGAGACCATCCTGGCCAACATGGTGAAACCCCGTCTCTACTAAAAATACAAAAATTAGTTTGGCGTGGTGGTACATGCCTGTAATCCCAGCTACTCGGGAGGCTGAAGCCAGAGAATCGCTTGAACTTGGGAGACAGAGGTTGCAGTGAGCTGAGATCGTGGCATTGCACTCTAGTCTGGGTGACAGAGAAAGAATCCATCTCAAAAAAGATAAAAAAAAAAAAAAAAAAAAAAAAAAAAAAGAAATGGCCATGTTCTAAAAAAAAAAAAAATGTGTTGGAAACTGTAAGTAGTGAATATTTAATCTTAACAACTAAGGACTGATGTAAGCACTAGAATGTTTTATTTGCAGAAATGTGTATAACCATTATCTAAATTTCCTTGTTTGAAACAGGAGTAGCAAGAGTTGGCACTTATTTTATTGCATCTTCAACCTCTGTTACTCTGATAACTGAAGAAAGAACTTGAACCTGTGTTAATGTGCTGAGACATTCCAAAGGGATTTGTGTATGAAGCAAAGGGGTTTGGGATTTGGTAGTTATTTTACAGATCTCAGGGAACCAATATATAAGGCAAAACTTATTAGATAGTAAAAGAGTATTAAAAGGGCGAATTTTATTGTATGTAAATTATACTTCAGTGAACTTGACTTTTAAAAGAAAGAAATAAAACAATGAGGTTGAAGAATGTGCTTTGGAGACTAGCAATTCAGAAGTTTTTGGTGACGCTGGCAAAAAAATTGTTTAATTAGAAACCAGATTGTAATGGGTTGAGGAATAAATCCAAGTTTAGGAAGCTTGAAGGTGGCACAAAAGAGGGAAAGGTAAGATCTGTTAAAGATGGTTGGTTGTTAGTTTATTGTGGTTGTTATTATTGTTTCTTTAGATGAGAACAGCTAAAGTATGTTGGGGAGCAATAGGAAAGTTGAAAATACAGAAGGAAGGAGTAACTGATACAATAAGATCCTCTTGGAGATCATCAGTGCTAGACAGAAGGATCTCTGAGATGTTACTGGTGGATTCGTTGACAGAGGTGGAGTGATGGGAAATGCCATTTGATGGCCTCTATTTTCTCTGTGTAAAAGGAGGCAAGGTTAATAGCAGACAGCGATGGTTAACAAGTTAAATAGAGTGATAAATGAAACTGGGAAATGAAGGAGGAAAATGACCAGGAGCAAATTTAAACATTTTGAAGTAATTCTGAAATCCCAACTCAAGCTGGAAACCATAATTCTGGAGAGACACCAAACCGTATAGTTTTGTGATTTTTCTCCAGCGTTGCTCAGCAGCCTGGGAGCTGAGGAGAACACACATGATTGGGTTCATCTGGGCTCAAAAGATAGGTAGATGTAACTGAGGGAATTGATGGAGCTGGTGGATATCTCTAAAGTTCACCATGGGCATCCAGACTAGTAGAGAAGAAATTGGAAATTACTAGTCTGGGAGAAAAGAGAAAAAAAAAGAAAACCAAAAAGTCATGGTGAGAAGATGGAATACTTGTTTTCTGGAGCCGTATGTGTCCCCATAAGGAGCCCTGCCCCTACCATACAACTCTTTTGCCATAGCTTTCAGGGATACTATAGAAAGTAGATTGAATACATTCGAGGGCATAGACTGGATTCAGAAACATAGCCTGGTGGTCAGTGTTTCATTCTGAACTTGCCACTAATTTAAAGCAGCTGTCATTACCACTATTATCACAGAATGCTAATCCTTAGGCAAGGAATGTTACTTGTGCATTCAAGAGTAGAAGAAATGGGAACTTCCCATGGGCAATGACAATAGACTTGGCAAGAGGTAAATCATTTCACTTTTTGCCTCAGATTCCAAAAGTGTATTGATGTTTCCCTCAAGGCATGCCCATTTACTTCTGTTATCTTAAGATTATCAATTTAATTCTGTTAGAGAGTCTACAGACGTGGCACCCTTCTTTTGGCTCTCACTCTTCCTTTCTGCATTTTCTCTTTCCTTGCTTCCTCCTACCTTTAGGTATTAAATGTTGTCATATGCCTCAGCAACCTTCCCCCACCAAGTGACCAAATAAAGTATTCCTATAAGCTTAGTATTAGATATTTTTTGTGTGCCCAAGACTAGTCTAAGAAGTTGGTGCTTAGTTAGAAAACACTTTTAGGTACTTTGCAGATAACACTGTACAGCTAATCCATCATGCACTATACATTCAGTTGAACCTGGGTGTGTCTCTCGTATTCATAAGAAAAGCCCTGCTCCTATGGGCCCTGTCTCCATATGTCAGCCTAGTAACCAACCATGTTATTCACTGTGAGATACCATGTTCCAGTTATCCTTTACTTGCTTGAGTGCTGAGATGAACATAATACACAAGGTCTAGTAGTTCCTAAACCCTACGAGAACTCCTAAGCTCCTTCTCTTGATGTTGTCTATATATATAAGTTCAAAAAATAGTCTTGGGGGAATTTCAATAAACAACTCCAAATAAGTCCTTTTTTCTTTGCAAATATAAATCCTTGTAAAATTCCATTTTTTTTTCCTGTTTGTTTCCTATTCCTGATTCTATTATAGCTCTAGCAATATTAAACACCAGCTGGTTTGGAGATTAAAATCAGACATACTATGGCTTTTTTGTTCGTTTTTTGGAAGACAGAGTCTCATTCTGTTGCCCAGGCTGGAGTGCAGTGGTGTGATCTCGGCTCACTGTAACCTACACCTCCTGGGTTCCAGCTCTCTTCCAACAGAGTGAAGAATGGGCCTCATGGCACACGAAGCAGAGGAAGCTGCTGAACAGGGCCCTGGAAGGTGCACTGGCCCAGCCCCGCTCCCACTGCCCTGGCTGCGACTCATGCTCAGACTCCCTCTTCCTCCTCTCTCAAAGCTGCTTCACGCAGGGATGGGTAGGAAATGCAAACTCTTGCATTGACCCTGACCACATGCTCCAGGACTTTCATATAGCTGGTTTCAGTGAGGGCCCTTGGGCCCCACAGGAACTCGTAGCATGCTGGATCACTGCTGGGCACCTGTCGGTACTCCAGTTAGTTTTCTTGCACCAAATATTGGGTGAGCAGCTTCCAGGGCTCCCCATAGACATTGTGCTCCCTCCCATCATACACCTCCATCACACTCAGCTTCTCCCAGACTTCCTCCTCAGATGTGCAGTCGCCCTCCATTGTGATCATGCCCAGGACGATTATCAGGAGGCCTGTCTTGGGAAAGATCTGATTATCACCCAGCAGGCCATCGCAGGAGAAGCCCAAGCAGGTGATAAGGACATAGGAGTGGCCGGTGGGGTCCACTTCCTTCATATCAATGCCAAAGATCAATTTCAGGGACTCGGAGGTTTTGCAGAAGATCACAGGAAAGTAGCGTTTGTAATTTTGGATGACACTCTCCAGAATTTCTGCCTTTGTGACCGGCTTCTTGGCTTTATACTTGAGGAGCAGAAAATGAACCAACCCAGCCACCTTGTTAGTGAATGCTGCTCGGACCATGGACTCCGGGTCAGGAGAGGTGCTTGGCCCTTCCTCTTCTTGGCCGCTGCAGCCCTCATCAGATTGCCTCCAGAGAGTGTAGCTGATGGTAGTGGGGAAGGCGGAGGCTCCCTGAGGACTCTGGGGAGGACCTGTTGACCCAGCAGTAGGCACCTCCCACAGTGTGCCCAGGACCAGAGTAGAGGAGGAGGCAGCCTCCTGCTCCTCAGCAGCAGAAGCCTGTGCACCCACCAGGCACGGGGCCTCCTCTGCGGTCTCAAGACCTTCCACAGGCTTGCATTGCTGACTCTTCTTTGCAACAGACATGATGACTCTGGTCAGGGCAGCAGGCAAGAGTGTGGGCAGGAGTTGGACAATGGAGACCCACAGGCCTGGGGAGAGAGGGAGCATGTGAGAGGCCTCAGCTGAGAACTGAACCTTGGAGACTCTAACAAAGGCCTACTTACAGATCTTCTCCTTGGTGCTCCTCTGTGGCCTCCAGGGAATCCTGTCCTCCGGGTTGGCCTGTTCCCTTAGAACCTGAAGGAAGAATTGAGAGGGCACCTCAGGGTACAGCTGGCCAGCAGAGGTCGATTCTTCAGGACTGACCACAGTAGAGAGGTGAGGCCAGACTCTCTGGAGTCCCATGTGTCCCATGGCAGGTGGGGCCCTTAATGTGCATTCAGGGCAAACATTAGCTACTGGCACCGCCTGTGCATCCTCTGCTCTGTGACATGAGGACACTGTCTCAGACCAAGGCCTCACTGCCTGGTTCCTGGAGCTCCTTGAAGAGGAATCCATGGGCCCTCAGGGTGCAGACTGCAAGCACAGCCCTGGGCCCTCAGTGCTATCAGGAGGGTGGGCTGGACTCTGTGATGTCCCCACTCTCATGGAGTGGATTGTCCCCTCTGTACTCACGCAGGGCCCTCACCTTTTTCCTGGCAGGGCCTGAATTCCACCCTTTTGCTGCTCCAAGAAATGCAGATCAGGTGCTCACGTCCCTGATAAGGAACAGGACAGGAGGGGACCCACGTCTGGCCACACGTGCCTAGGTCCTCGGGGAAGTACAGCAAGAAATAACAAAATTCAGTGGAATTAATGTGTTCTGGGTGAGGCGCCTGTTTGGTCCTCACCTTGACTCCTGGCAGGGCCTGGGATGCTCCCGCTACTGACCTGAGTGCAGCGCCTCAGAGGAAGGCCTTTCCCTCCCTGACATCAGTGATCCCAGAATAAGTGAGTGACCTCAGGAGACAGCCCTGCCCATGCTCTGTGGGGTGACAGTAGGGGCAGGGAGGATTTCTCTGCTGTCCCTGTCAGCATTCTGGCGCACACGTACCCTTGGTGGATCCTGGGATTTCTCTTTCAACCAGATGGGGTCCCCTATGTTTGCCTGAGTCACCCTCTGAGAATAAAGTCCTCACCTCCCTGAGATCTGGAAACAGGAGTGAGACAGAGCCACATCCTGACACCCCACGTGAGGGATCCAGGGCTGACTCCTTTGGTTCTGGGGTGAGGGTTCTGATGGCCTACTGTGGGTTACTCATCTTTCCTCCTACCAGGGCCTGCGCTCCCTCATCCCCCAATTCCTTGAGATAAGTAGACATCACTCCATTACCCCAAGACCCCATCTCCCAGAGGGCTCCTCAACTTCCTGCCTATGGTACAAGTGAGACTGAAACATATGGCCATCCATGATCTGGTCCTCCCAGAGCTATAACAGGGGACAGCCAGACTCTGTGGAGTCCCTTCTTTCTGAGCCGGGGGTATCCCCAGTCCTCATGAAGCGTGCACACCTTGGGCCTTGAAGATCCTGGGACTCCTCCCTCTCTTGACCTGAGGCCCCACTTCTCATAAGGAAAGAGACCACTACTACATCTGCTGTCCTCCTCCCCCCACCTTGCCTAGTTCACAAACAAGCAGAAAGAGAGAAAGCAAAAAGTTAGAAAGAAACAAAAGTAACATAAATAGCCAGACAACCTTGGCACCACCACCCGGCCCTAGGAGTTAAAAAAAAGTAATAATGACTCAATCCCTGACCTAAACTACTTGTGTTATCTGTAAATTCCAGACACTGTATGAAAAAAAGCATTGTAAAACTTTTTGTTCTGTTAGCTGATGCATGTAGCCCCCAGTCACGTTTCCCATGCTTGCTCGATTTATCACGACCCTTTCACGTGGACCCATTAAAGTTGTAAGCCTTTAAAAAGGCCAAGTATTTATTTTCGGGGAGCTCGGCTCTTAAGACTCGAGTCTGCCGACGCTCCCGGCCGAAAAAAAAACCTCTTCCTTCTTTAATCCGGTGTCTGAGGAGTTTTGTCTGCCACTCCTCCTGCTACACTCAGACCACAGCTCTGTCCTCTGTCACCTCAAAGGTGCAGGAAGGGTCACTTGTGGCCACCATCCCTGGACCTCCCAGGGTGGAGATCCCCACTGATCTGGATTCCAAGGTCACCTGAGTCCTCCCTCCTCTCCTCCTCGTGATCCTGACAGGTCCCACCTCTATGCTGATCTAAGTCCCCATCACTCTAATTCTTGAGGCAGAAGGAGGCAGCCTCAGTCTCAGATGGGGGTGAGGTGGGTCTCCTGTCCTAGGGTGCTGGGTTCCCTGAAGCCTCCCTCATTTCCAAGCAGGGACCTCCCTCTGCTCCCCTGAGGTCTTGTTCAAGCCCCTTCCCTTCCAAAGCCCCTTCCCTCTATCAGCCCCGGATAGGGACGTCAAGATCGGTATGCCTGGCTGCCATTCCCAGGGCTTCCATGGGTTGACAGCAGGGATTCTGACAAGATCCTGACAGCAGGGATTCTGACAAGGTTGTGGGTAGCGGGTGGGGATGGGAATGTGAGTGGCGTGGGAGTGGAGACGAGGATACAGGTGGGGGTGAGGGAGCCTCAGTTCCCTCTCAGGGCCCTGATGTTGATGCTGGGTGGATGCCTGGACCTTGATGCCTGGGCCCTGCCCTCTCCTGACCAGCCCTGCCCTCATCACATAAGCTCCGACTCCAGATTCTCCTGTGGGTTAAATGGTAGTGGGGACAGTGGTGGCCAGAGTCCCCTGCAGGTTAAGCTTAGAAGTCTGCTCCATCTTGGTGCTCCAGGGCTGGCAGCAGAGGTGGTACTGGATCATTTTGGGGCCATCTACCTGGAGTGGAGGCCTCCTAAGGCCTTCTACAGCTTCTGACCTTGCCTCCTCCCAGAGCTTCAGACCACTCCCCTCAGCCGATAGCGATGCAGAAACCGCCCCTCAGAACCATTAGATAGACCTGGCTTCTCTGGATCTGTGAGGTGCCAGTCAGTGGTGTCACTTCAGGTCATCCAGAGGCCCTGGGTTGAGAGCAGGGCAAGCCGGATTCTGCAGAATGAGGGAGGCGGATGGGAGTAGAGGCCTGAGAGATGGGGAGTAGGGTTGGAGATAAGAGTGGGGTCAGCAGAAGGGTTGGAGCTGGTGGAGGGCTGTGGTCAGGTGACTTGGAGTGGGGAGTGGGGATGCAGCATGGAGTGGCTGAGAAGATCAGAGGGTTAGGTGAGGGAATGGGAATGTGAATGGGGTGGAATGGGATTGGAGTGCAGTGCCAGGCCCAGCGCCTTCCTCCTGTGATTTCTTAGGCAGGTGCTGAGCTGTGTTTTCTCAGCCTTTGCTCTTTCTCGCTAGCATGACATGGCTGTGCTGGATATGGTGATGGCAGGCTCAGGGCTTTGGGAGGAAACGATTCTCGAAGGGTGAAGCATAATGCAAGGGCAAACCTTCAGGTGTGAAATCTTATAACTGGCTGGGATATCTTGTGATATGTAAGTAAGCATTCTGGATATTCATGGAAGCCCTCTATAAGATGTGGGACCAGCTGGATCAGCCACCTAAGCTGTCGCACTCTTCGTTTGACCGAAACGCCATCCGTCGGGCTTCATGATGCATTCTAAATTCGGTGCCGCACTACCCTCCCGTCACGCCAAGTCGATGGCGTCCCATCCGGGCCTGCGGGATGTTCCCAGGCAGGGCAGATCCTGCCTGGGTGGGGATCTAAAGTGAGGGTAGGCAATGAGGTGGGGTTGGCGTGGGTGTGGGGCAGGGGGAGTCCAGGGGTGGCGGTGGCCGGTGAGGTGGAAAGGCAGGGCAGATAGAATCAGGGATGTGGAAGGGGATGGGGTGGGGATGTGGGATGGGAGTGGAATACGGCAATCAAGTGGGGATGGTCTGGAGTGGGCATTGGGTGGGGTTGGTCACCGGGAGTGAGGTCTTAGGGACCCTCAGCCCTCCTTGAGAATCCTGGGCATGATGTCTGGCAGAGCCTGGATCTGCCTGCCACCTCTCCTCGCAGCCTTCCTGGTCACATGAGCTCTGACTCCAGAGTCCCAGTGGCTTAAGCAGCAGGGGCTGAGTGGCCACTTTGAAATCTCACCTTTCAGGTGGTCAGGAGCTGGCAGAGGGCAGCACTGGTTGTGCAGACCCTCTATCACAGAATGCAAGTGGGTCCTCTGATCCTCCCTCAGTGTCTCACCTTACCTCCTATGAAGCTGTAGACATAGCCCCCTCCACGATCTCAGCCACCTCAGACCCCGAGAACCTTCTCTCTAACCACTAATATCCAAGTCATTCGTCCACATCCGGGCACCTGGGAGGCCCTGGGTTGGGCAGGGGCAGACAGTTCTGCCTGGACTGGGGTGGTGGTGAAGATGTTTGTGTGAACAGGGTAGGAGGATTGGGGATGGTGATAGGGAAGGGATATGATGGGGACTTACCAGAGACTTGAGTCTGTTAGTGGTGGAAGTGAGTGGAGTTGGGCGTGGGTTGGGGACCCTCAGTTACCCCTCAAGTCTCAGCCTTGATGGCTGAGCCTGGGCCGCCATCTACTCTGCGACTGTGTCTGCTCCTCTCACAAGTCCTGACCCCAATCCCATGGAAATGGCTGTTGGGGAGTGTCAGTGGGAGTGACAACATTGCCCAGGATCTTTTAGGAGAAGCCTTGTGGGAAGGGGCTGAGCTGGATTCTGTGGCCCCTCTGTCAGGAGGTGGACCTCAGTCCCCACTCTGGGAGGGTCCACTGCTGCACAGCTCCTGGCTCTTTGATGAAGTGATGGGGTAGGAGATGCTCTGTTTATACTCACCTCTGACATTTGCTAGCAGCACAGTTGCAAAAAGGGAGAGATAAAAACTGTGGTATGAGCTGAGGTCTCCATGAAGACAGCTGCTCCAGATGATTGAAGCCTCTGGGAGAGACGCACACCCTCCCACAGGAGCTCCTCTCCAGTCATTTCACTTGACCTTTTGTCCTCAGTGAATGTTTGGTGGGCACAGTGGCTCATGCCATAATCCCAGCACTTTGGGAGGCCGACCTTGAGCAGATCACCTGGAGTCAGGGTTTGAGACCAGCCTGGCCAGCATGGTTGTAACCCAGTCCCACAAAATGCAAAAGTGTGGATGTGGTGGCGTATGCCTATAATTCAGCTACTGGAGGCTGAGGCACGGAATCAGCTTGAACCCGAGAGGCGGGGAACGCAGTAGGCGAGACTGTGCACTCACGCCACCATCGCCTCACATGGTGAGACTCTCTCAGATATGTATATATATATATATATATATATATATATATATATATATATATATATATATATATATATATATATATATAT